ATAATTGTTACCTTTGACAATAATTGTTTGAGATTTTTTTACTGGCCAAAAGCCATTCTCTGCAACACATAAATAGTCACCACTGTCACGTTTCAAAAGATATCGTATTATTAACTTTTGATTTCTATCCTCTAAACTAAACTGTTTTGATGACGATATAGATGTACTGTTTTTAAACCACATAATATTAGGTGTTGGAATGCCTTCAAAGTGACATGATAAGTATACAGGATTTTCTGGGTCTTTTGCAAATCGTGTTATTGCAACGTTATTGATATTTCCATGAACGAAGTAAGCTGGAACTAACAAAAAAAATCACTTAAAACAAAGATAACAAGTAAGTTATTTATAAAAATAAGTAGACAGTGGGTGCTTGGGTACCCAAGTATAAAGTTTTACTTTTATTTTCATGAAATGACATGGCAGACTATGTAACTATAAATATTATCATCCCTGCCATGAAACGATATTGTTTACAAAGGTAGTACAGCTATCGTTAGAATTAGCATGCCTACTTTGATTGGGTGGGGTTTGAATTAATATTTTCATATTTAATGAACGTATGATTATGAATTTTTCGAAGATTTCGAAATAACTTCTTATCACCTACTCTGATACTGTCTCTAATGTCATACTCATATTATCTGTCAAATACGCTCATACACTTATTCCTAGTCTAGATTTTATACCTAAAATATATTCATATCTAAAAGGGTAAGAAAAACGTCCTGCAGTAACTCATCCTGTACCACTTCATCTTCAATAAGATAGTATTACAAATCTGTGAATGTTGCTGCAGGATGTTTATCACACGTAGATTTTCTTAACAGATATTATACAAACATGAAACGTATTTTTAAAATAGCATAAAAAACACCCACAAAAAATTGCAGTTTATTTAACTGTACCCTTTGTTTATATGATTCCCGAGATGTTTCGGTTTGAAAAATCTTAATTTAACATGTAGCATTACAAAGGAATCCCATAAAATTTTATTTTTATGATGTTAAAAAATCTGCTATTTTTTGAGTATGAAAGATTACTTCTTGATAAACCTATTCAATTTTTAAAAAGAAACACAAGTTGGTTTTCAAATAAATTTAGATAAAGTGGATCAAGTATGCGTAAAAGCGTGTATGTAAGTACATAAATATGAGAAAAACGATTATTATCGTTCCTACATATATTTGCGCTCCTCTCACTTCTCTGAACTTTTTCCCCGCTTACTATGATGAACATCCTTAAGCCCGAAAAATATCTCGATCACGAATGGAAAAATTGTGACAGAATGAAACGCAAAAAAATCAATTGATGTATTCATAAAACGCAAAAAGTATTGTTTAAAGAATTTTGGAATATTTCGAAAAAAAAATGAAAAAATGTCACAACTAATTATCAATTAATAAAAAAAACCAATTAATAATAACTAAATAAATATTATGATAACATAATAAAGCTGCTATGTTAAAAAAAAATTATTTTAAATATTATTATTCTAAGTTTTCAAGAAAAACGTTTAACCAAAAAAATTCGATTATTTCATGAATATAATTTAATTAATAATGCAATTTATGATTAAATCAAATTCATAAGAAAGCACTTTATAAATATTTACATGACGATTACAAACCATACCATAACAAAAATTAATTGAGTAACTCTTATCAGGGATGCTCATAGAAGAGTGGATAAGGGCTCTAGCTAGTATGCACGTTGTCGTAGATTTATGAATCGCATTAAGTCGTTTTTATTTAACTTTTTTTTTTTAATTGGTTTGAGAGAAAAAATTTAAATTCAATAAAATTCAACGTTTTTGGTGTGCTGTAGTGGCGTGGCGTTGGCTGGTGTGGATGAAAAAATGTGCGGTAGGGTTCGGCGAGAGAAGCGGGGTAACATGCAAATCCACTTTTGTTTCACACTTTTTCAAGGTCACCCATCCAAAATCATTGGTTTACTCTCGTGCATCATGCACCTATAGAAGTATAACTTAAAAACTGATCTACTATGCATATATTGTAAAGAAAAAGTTTTTTATACGTACCATTAAGCTGAAGAGAATATTTCTTTGGAATTTCCTTGTGAAATTCATTATTTGCTGTACAATAATAATCTCGTTCATCCAAACGATTAACATTATTAATCGATATAATAGCGCGGTGAGTAAAGTTAGTTTCTTCAAACGTGACTTTTATTCTTTCTGAAACATTACAAGATCTGAATGATTCGAGTTCAGACAAACTAAGCTACTTTAACAATTAAAATAAGTTGCATTATAACTTTAGTCTTAAACTGACCAGAATCTTCAACTTTGTTGTTTTTATCATCATACCATACGGCTTGAGAAAATTCACGAATGACAGCAGAACATACTAAAGAAATGTTTTGACCTTCATGAAAATTTATTTTTGGTTTTATAACTCCATAAGCCTCATTGGGAATTCCATCTTTAAATAAAAGAATGAAAATTAAAAAACATTACTAGCAGTAAATTTTCATCAAACTAAAAACTTGACGTAAATAGTTGGTTTGGATATACGAACCTGTGACATGAATGTCATATCTTGCATCGTTACATCCATAACTATTGCAACCCATGCATTTTATTGTTGACTTTGCTTCAGGTCTTAACATTACCGTTGATTTATATTCAGCACTGTGGCTTTGTTCATCCATCTTAGTTTCTTTAAATACTTTATTTTAATTCAAATTAAAACTCTACAAAACTTACCTTTTAACAAAAGTAAAAGGTTTGGCAAGTTCGACATGTTACATTTAATTACATACGTTATTAATTTTAATTATTAGTGAATTGTTAATTTGGCGTAACAAATTCGAGTCTAAGCTTGCGCTTGATTACTTCGGACTTACACTGGGCACGTAAATGGGACGCGGGGCTTGACAATAATTGGAAATACTTGATAAATTACCTGATAATGAGGAAAGAGTGCTTTTAAGCGAATGAGTCAAGTTATAATGCCTCAGAGTGACTGTAGTGCTGTATCGCGATGCACTTTCTCGCGACGCGCCTAGAGGTCTACAATACTACCTGGAGCAGTGTATACAATGTGTTCCATTCTACGATCTAGAAGCTACCGATAGTGACAGCAAGTTGAACCGCACTCGTGGAGAACCGTATAATAGCAAAGGTTGACTCTAGCCACCCAGTCGACCGATTGAGAGTAAAAATCAACTTTCTATTTTTGGGGTCTCTGTGCCTTTTTATTAGAAGTAGCCAATTATTATTATTTCTATTAATTATAGTATTACAAGTACTATTAAGGTTAAGATTATTATTATTATTATAAGTATTATTATTATTATTATTATTATTATTGTTATTACTATTATTAGAACAATTATTGTACCATTACAAACATGAGTAATGTAATCGCAGCCACTGCTCTTGCTGTTAGTTTACTTGATTCATTATATCTAATTGATGTACCGTCACATTCCGACTGTTTATTTAACCAATCAATTTATCAAAACGTTAAGCGGTTTTCCCTGCTCTTCCTGCAATAGGTTTCATTAAATAAACAAATACTACCGAACATAAGGAAGTACTATTAATATTTTATCTCAAAAACAATATTAAAATGAAATGAAAAATTGGTAAAATCTGAATGTAAAAGAAAATAGAAGGGCACTAGTGAGTGATTCACCTTCCCTTTTCTTGACGCATACATAAGGGCAAGCTGGATGTGGAAAGTACCAATTCTTGAGTAGCTTAACTAGAGCAGCTCTGGCCAATCAGATTTCCGGCTATTATATTTTCTTCAAGATTTTCCAACGGTAAGCTTTTCAGCGTCATTTTTGAACTTTGAACCAATGCGTGACCAAGGTACGCTACTTCTAATATAGGAGACTAAATTCCCCCCCCCCCCAAAAAAAAAGTTAACAATCACACTTTAAACAGTGGAGTAGGCAGTTTGTAGTCCATGTAGAATGCGGTAGCTCAGTCGGCTAGGTTGTGGACTGGCACGAGGTTAAATTCCCGTCCAGTGCGATATTGACGAGCAAGTAAGGGACGCATAGCACTATAATATAAGAGAAGAGCCCATCTCTGCTACCTCACAGTTCACCATAAAGCAAGTTTTTATTTTCCTCTCAAACGGTCGACTAGAGGTAAAAGAGGGTATTATTACGGTTGCACCAATTATTGCGGCTCGAATAATGCGTATATTTAAATTAAACTGATGAGGTATGGTGAGTTAATTCTTGATATCATTAAATGCAGTTATGGAGTATCTAAATATTAAAACTTTAGTTCCAAAAAAGGGTTAAAAACTTTAAAATTACATAACAAATGGTCACGTCCACGCAATAATTGGTGCAAACATAACCACTTTCTCTATGAATATGTTATTGTTGATAACCCGTTGATTTAACATTGAAATTGACCACAATAATACATGCACAATGACACATACAAGCTCGCAATTATACCAGCATTGGCAACATTAAAATTTCAAACCTCTTGTTTAATCAATATTCAAGAGTTAACAAATTTGTCAAAGCAAAATTCATAAGTTGTTAGGTTTAACATTAAAAAACAAAAAAATTTCAACGATTTGATGAACTGAATTTTTCAGATATACGTCTGAAACTAACCACTAAAATATCGCAATCATACCCTTATTTACCCCTATGTAATGGAAGTCCGTCTCTGCTATCTCGCAGCAAATTTGACGGTACGACCACTTTTTATGATGGCTGAGCCTGATAAAATGTTAGTTTGAGCATTTTGAGATTCAATCATCTTACTTTCATTATTTTTCTAATTTTTTGGCCTATATTCAACAAAAAAGCTGTAGAATAGGATGAAAAATTATCAATTAGACACAAATATTTGAGGCATACTGACAAGAATAATAATTTTTCGTAATTCAAAAATTTGAGTATGTGAATTAGAGATAAATAGTAGCGCAATCTCCGGGACATCGTATGTTTTCGCAAACGTGCCTTATTACGTTCCTACTCAACTTGATTACTTTACATACCTCTAGTTATTACTTTCAATAAATCATTCAAATTAAAAAATTTTTTAGACAAACAAACCTGTAGCTTAGATGTTTTATCAATATGTGAAGACTCTGTCGGGTGACTGTTATAACTCCATGATACATTATATTTTAAGTGACTTTGAACAATGCAAACAAACGTCGCAGTCTTATTGTAGCTGTAGTAATTTTTGAAACAACTTGGATCAAACCTCACGCCTGGCTTATCTACAAGCAATAACATATAGTATAATCATTGTAGTAAAAAAGTGTGAGATTAGCAACAAAATATATTCAGACAGATATGACATGCTGCTACGTAATGAAAATAAATCAAAAGTAAGTAAAAACACACAGAGCTCTTATTTTTAAAATCTAAATCAGTTAGAGAATCAAATACACTAACACTACTTTAGTTAATTCATTCTTTGCTAAAGTATTAATTAAAAAAATAAAAAAATAATCCTTTAAGATGGAGCTAAAAACATTATACAGCATTTTTGGAGTTTATGATAAAATTTACCTTGAATGCGAAAAGCTAAACGTATCATGGCTTTACAGTAGTCTCAGAGAATCAGTAAACATCAATAAGAAATTATTTTCTAATACTCTTCATATCTATGGCATAAGTACTAATTTGTCGGTAGTTCGAAAAAGTTGACACATTATTCTTTTTTTACTCAGAAATTCGTAAGTATGTCGTATAATAAATATTTAGAACACATTTTCACTTTTTGTGAAAAAAATATTAATAATAAACATGTGGTTTAATGCTTTCAGCTTCCTGTTTAAAGAAACGGGATATTTTTAACTATCGAATTTATCAATTATTAAAACTTTTAATTATAGTCCAGTTCCAAATGTTACTAATCCTTCTGTATAAATAACATATGATTTACCAATAACTTGAAGATAAAACATTATGTTTTTTTTTCCCCTGAAGTTATTAGCTATTGTATAAATTCCGTTATTGGCCTTGGAAATATTATCTATGCGTAATCTACACATTAATCGGTTGCAAAATGTTGATGTTAAGCTTCCAAAATAATCTGAAACACGAGGGATGACACGATGATGATATTTCCTAAAAAGCAATAAACTTCTCAATAAAATCAAGAATATATATTGTATGTCTCGTGTTCATCAATTTATATGTCTAAAAAAACTGTGAGTGTTACCACTGTAAAAAAGGTTCTGGACATGCGGAGACATTAGCCAAGAAAGTTACAGATTTACCACGTAATCTGGATACTTCTTTCTCAACAGATGTCAGACTAATGTAGTGATGATTCGAATCTGTCGAAAAAAATTTGTAAGAACCCAATGATTATTTTAAAGTGACCAAAAAGTAGGGGACCAAGACCTACCATATACACATATATTATGTACTTCAGTACTTTTTGTTTCATTATACGATGATTCTATTTGGCATATGTAAGTTCCTGAATCTCCAAATGTAACATTGTTTATAATAAGCTCAGATGTTATTACATCTTCTATGTAGAACTTATCACTTTTTTCTCGAATAGTGTTTGAAATTATCCTAGAACTCTAATAAACGTAAATACTATATTATTTAGAAAATTTGTCGGAAATATATCAACACTTGTGCCGTTATTAAAATAATTTTAAAAATGTACAAGTATTTAATGTTACCGTGTTCTGCGGAATTTTCCAAAAAATATTGTAAACGGCTTCTCTTCTCACTCTAACTGAACACTTAGCACTAAAGCTCGAGCCTGTAGTCATGTCTTTAAAAGAATTAATGAATTTTTGCGACCAACTTATACAATCGTATAATATAGAGAGATCAACTTTCAGAGTAATTGTAGACGATAAATTTTTCTGCTCTACAGAACAAGTAAATGAATCAGAGTAAGGACGAAGTCTATTCTTAATAATGTAACCAACTTTGGGATTAAATGTTGTATTTTTGCTGAGTTGAACTATCTATAATAATAATATTTTTTGAGTTTTCGATCCTCATTTAATATTTAAATTTTGACAAAGTCACATTACGTTTCCATTTTTTTTCAAAGTAACTTTAAATTCAGGAGAAGTCGTCTGGCACGATATAATTGCATGTCCAATACATCCATAAGCTTGTAAATAATGCCCTTTATCATGTACATGCACAAATGGGTTTATACTGGCTGCATAACAAAAGTAAAACTTTTAAATATAGTTTGTGTGCAGTAGTATGACAGTATTCCATCATTTTATAATGCTAGCATGCTTCCTATGTCGTGGAGTAGGGCACCGCTCTGCCCAGTGCCCCCTGGTGGAATGTTTTATATGCGGCGAGAAGGGTCATTTGGCCCGCCAATGCCCAACAAGGATTATCGGGACCTCGGACAGCTGTCAGAACTGTGACACCCCCGGGTACACGTTCAAGACGTGCCCGAATTGCGAGGAGTCCAGGAAGAAATTGGGAAACGGGAAGGCGGGGGACTCGATTCGATAGACGCATCCACGTCCCCCGCAGTACTGTTGAAGGAGTTGTTAGGGGACTCGATCAGGATGGACGAGGACAAGGATCACTCTATCAAGCACATCGGAGGGCTAACTCAGTCTGGAGATACATCCGATGCCGAGAGCTCTGGCTCTACATCGGACAGCGAGCTGGAGGACTTATCGGACGAATACCGGGAAGAGGCTGTACGCGTAATCCGC